GGAAGATCGACCTATCTCGACAACCAGCTCAAAATTTTTCAAGAACACCCTATTTAAGCATTTAATTGAAGAACGCCCTATCTCAGAATTTGATTGAAGATAATCCTATAAAAAGAATAATATGTATTAAAATGGATGACCTTTATGCTGAAACAATATTAAAAGAAATATTCTTTAAAACAAAAGGTCATAGTGAGTTTATTAATAGAACCACAGATAAAAAAATAGCAACATTTTTAAAAATACTTAGAATAAGTTACCAAATTTACTTAAAATTATTTCATTTATGCTCTCTATTCCTGCAACTTCGGCCTTCACAGGAACAGTTTTTTTTATTATGATTGTGAAATGGCGAGATGAGAGAAACGAAGCGACTACCTCACTAATAAAAAATGGACTTTTGATTTATATTAATTTAAATGTTGATGTACACTTGAAAAGCTCTTTTACATTTTCTTCTAAATAAAATACTAAACATATTTGATTTCAGATTTTTTTGAAAAAGTACTATAAATTTCTTAGAAAGTATTGGAAATCCTAGTCAATACTCCACTCAACCGTCGATATACAACCTTATTACAATAAGGCACTAACTAGCAATCTTTTTCTTTACGGAGTGATAAAACAACTCCATAGAAAATCAAGCACTTTTTGCTACGAATATCTATTAAAGAATGTTACTAATTTTACATAGGCGGCAGTTATTTTTAAAATCACTTAGACAAGAAAACTGAAAAGTTTTGCTTCTTATTTCCTTAAGAAGAAATAGGCGAAGGCTACCTTATTTTGGTAGCACAAAGTTGAACTTAAACATTGAATAATGATACCGTTTCCAAATTTTTCGAAAACCTCTGAAAAATTCCGACAGTTCGAGAAAAATCTCAAAAAATTTTGAAAAAAAAGAATATATGTATATAGGTACTAATCAGTAATTTCTGATGCCCAAAAAATAATAAGCAAAAATGAAGTGAATTAAAAATTAAGAAGCAAGAATTATCGGATTTTTTTATTCAAAACGCAAGGAGTAAACAACTTTAAGGTCATGAAGAAATCTTGCTTTTTAACTAAATTATTTTGGGATCAAAATCTCAAATTGTTTTCACTTACTGCCAGCTGTATATCTATTATGACTGGAAAGCAGCGCACTTCTTCAATTCTTGTCTCTTCACCATACATATGTATATAGTTTTTTCTTCTATGGCCAAATGCTAAATACTTAAACAAATTTTCGCAAACATTTCGAACGTTTAAAATCATATTTAACAGTTTGCCCCGAGCAACCCCAAAAACTTGCTCAATAAAATTTATGTTAAGCTCGGGACACTTTGACGACAGCAAGCGACAAGCAGCAGCTGTCAAATTTTAAATACACACGTTCTTACGGACACAATTATTTTGACGACAGCACGATATCTTGGCTGCAGGACTGCAATTGTCGACGGCGCCAAATTAAATCTATTTCTAATTTTGCCGGCGACAATGAGTAGATGTAGTGCTGCAAAATTAAATTGTCGCAAAATTAATCACATATTCTTGATTGTTCATGTTGTTCTTATTTACTTAAATAAAAATACACAATTTGTGAAATAAATATACCAAAATGTAAAACTTTAAAATCAGCTATTTGCTATGTCGCTGAGGTCTTCAAAATGTTTAAGAAGCTGGCTTCAAGGCGACATTTGTCGACAAAATGATGTCGCTGTCGTTACGTCGTGAAGTTGCAGTCGTCAAAGTGTTCCGAGCTTAAGTCTTAAGTGCAGAGGCCCATTTATGCAAACCTACATATGTATGTAAATGTATGTATATCTACCACACCTACATATCGTCGTGTTAAGTACAAAACCGCGTATCGTCATTCTGCAAAACCGCGTAACTGACATTTGCTGCCAAAAATTGGATTTGCTCACACAAGCTCTTGGCTCAATCCTTATCCATTCGTCCTGAAATATACTAGCCAGAAATGCGATTGCTTTATAAAAAAGAGAACCATTNAGAAAATAATTTATGCAGCCTCACAAACGCGGTTTTGCATTTTGTTGATACGCGGTTTTGTACTTTAAACGACAATATGTATGTACATACTACATGGGAGACAACCATCTACAACTGTATATGTACATGGATACATACTATACATACATATATATGTATGTATGTATATTCAGTACTCCCCCCTACTCCAAACCACCATTCCAACTCAATACACCGTCATTGCGCAGACGCCAACATGGAAAGTGAAATGCCGAGCATTGTTTTCGGATTTCATCGCAGCTGAAGCGCTGACTTCCAGCTGTTGTTCCCATTTTCTTGTTGCTTTTGGACAAAAGCTCCCAAATGGATGCTACCATAAAATGTGGGGTAGACAGCCATTTGATTTACTCATCGTAAAATCGGTATGCCGCTATGTATAAATATCGGTACACGAACATAATTCATAAGGGAGTAAGTTTTGTTTATTTTCACTGGAATGTATGTATGTATTTATATCTATGAACATATGTATGTATATGCGAGTATATGAATGTAAGTATGTAGATAATAAAAAGTTGTATGGATGCGTTCTCTGAATGCAAATGGCGTCAGTGACGTTGCACAAGAAGTGCGAAATAAATCACATATTAACATTTACATAAATATACATATCTACATACATATGTGTATATATGCAGTTGTATTCGTACATATATATATCACCAAATGTACATCTTTGGCCAACTTTAAGCCACTATTTGGCCCTAACTCTTTATTAACATAAAAAAATAGTACGTATGTATTTAGCTTTTGCCTAATAACAATTTGTATAACGAAAGTACTTAAGGACGAGCATGCCTTTAAGTTAAAATTTGCTGGTTCACATCCCCGTGGACTCGATGAAGAATCTGATGAGGAGATGTGGTGATCTCCGAAATAACAGCTATAATTTCTACCATATGAAAGTTATTGTTGTTTTTCGGCCAAACTGTTCATTAAAAACGGCCCAAACTTAATAAAATTGTTAGCTATGCAAAAAAATATTTTTTTGTAACACTGTGCGTCAGCCGAAAGCAGCCCGGACTTTGTTAACATTTTATGAAAGTATACCCATCCAGTAGTAAAACACTCGACGGATTTGCAAAAGTTAGCTCGTATTTTTATTTTATGGCCTACTAAAGATAACATCTTCCGACCTAAGTACTTTTCAAAAAAGTGGGAAAGAATATAATATAAAAAAGATAAGACATATGTAGTAAAATTTCAATGGAAATATTTTCTAAAAGGGTCGTTTTGACCCTTACTTCAAGAAACCCCGCAAAAAGCAAATTTGGAAAGTCATTAGAGGATTGATATATTCTAGAAAATTATTCTTCGTAAAATTTTACAAGAGGTCTTCCCAAGCAAAAACTTCATGCCTCGAACGTAGAAGTCTCTTTAAAATTAAAACAAAAAATATCTGCCAAACTCAATTTTCAAAATTTTTTTCTAAAAAAAAACAAGTTTTTTTTGATGTTTTTCACGTTGGTAGCATGAAGCTTTTTCCTGAGAAGACTCTAATGACCTTCCAAATTTGCTTCTTGCGGCGAAGGTCAAAACCACCCATTTTGGAAGGAGCTAATGGGTTAAAATGCTCTGAGAAAATAATTCCCATGAAATCTTACTACATATATTTTAACCTTTAGTTTTGCTCAGACATTTATTTTACCCATATTTTCCACTTTTTTGAAAAGTACTTAGGCCGGAACATGTAAACTTTAGTAGGCCATAAAATAAAAATGCGAGCTAGCTTTTGCAAATCCATCAGAAAATATTAGCAAAGTCCGGGTTGGTTTGATTTGCCATTAAATTGTCGCACGGTGTAGTTAAGTGCAGGGTTGGGCACGCTGCACTAAATTTTTAACGCACTGAGCTTTTTATTACCACTATTCGTTTAGTGGTAGTGAAATTTTAAATGCATTAGCACTAACTTAGGGCTTCCAGACGTCCTGGTTTTCCAGGATTTGTCCTGATTTAAACAAATTGTCCTGGTGTCCTGGTCCACACTTAAATTATCTTGGTATTTTAATGAAGGTCGATGCAAACGCCCATCTAACTTTTAGCACTTTTTTGCTTTGAAAAAAAAAAATAAATATCTATCTGTATTTTCAGGCAACTGCCAAAAGAGTGCAAGTTACTGGACAGGTACACGGGTGAGGGGTCACACATACTACGCAGTAGATAATTTCAGAAGAAAAAGGCCTTTCTGGAAGTCATTCACTTCTCCTTGCTTTTTTTGTACAGACTGGCATGCGTCTGCTTTCGCTACTCAAAGAAGAGCTTCCAGAAGGGCTTTTGTAGGACGTACTTCTGAAGGTCTTTTCAAGAAGTTCTTTTAAGGCTGTTTTTAGTTTATAAAAATCATACTTCTTTAGGAATTTAAATATTTAGGGTTCAGATCAAATATGTTTCATTATATATTGAATCCTAGTAATGCTAAATAATATAAACATATCCTAAAGTACATTCGCGTTATTTGTAAATAGGAAACCCCTTTCTAGGAAGCATGCAGGTAAGCACGTTCTTCAGTGTTTATTGGGTAAGTCTTTTAGAATGGCTTCACTTCAGACAGCCTACCTAAATGGTGGTAAGGCAAGCATTTAAGACCACGTTAAAAGCGCCAAACATTTTTCCAAGTTTACCGTAAAAAGAATTATTAATTTACAAAAACAAATCAGAGCTTGAGCGTTTATAGTATCAAAAAACACTTCAAAATAATGCAACGCCAAAACCAAAGAATCTGTATTTATAGGGATTAAGTGTCTTGGTCGATGGGTTCAGGGTTATGGCAGCCCTACACTAAGTGCTTAGTGGCAGTAAAAACAATTTGTCACTACCACTAACCATACAGTGGTAGTGAAAATGTTTATACCCGAGCGCACTTGCACACTCTGTTCACTTAACGGTTGGTTGTAACAGGCAAAACGAATCGAGAGAGATATGGACAAATGTATACATAAATGATCAGATTGAAAAGAGAAATACGTCCGTCCGTCCGTCCGTCTGAGCACACGATAACTCGAGTAAAAATTGAGATATCGTAACGAAACTTGGTGCGTGTACTTCTTCCTTATGTAGGACGGATGCTATTGAAAATGGGCAAAATCGCCCACCTCCCATATAACGGTAGTTTTCAGAAATACGAAATCTTCGATAAATCAGTAAATACCGAAGCTAATTTATTCAAAAATAATGCTTGTAATAATTCTTTAGCTAGAAATACGTTTTTAATAAAATTGGGAAAATGGGACCTGCCCACTTATGACCCAAATATGTGTATTTCGGTAACCGTTCTACCAATTTGTACCAAACTCGGTATGGTTATTGTGCTTGCCACGTAAAAGAAAATCGTTGAAAATTATTGAAATCGCACTAAAATTACGGCCACTTTTCATACAACGGCTAATTTCAGAAATGCTTGGAACTTCGACATTTCGAAATTTAAGGTCGCTAATTTACTCAAAATTGATACTACCAACAATACCTTGAAAAGACGTAAATTATTTGGGATTTCGCAAAATTTGCGCGATACCGCCCACATATGACTATATAAGTTTATCTCATTATGTCTATCTGAATGTTCTATCGAAGATGTTTGAAATAGGGGCAAAGCCACCCCTGCTTACCATTTAGCGTTAGTTTTCGGAAAGGTAAAAAAAAAACTATAATTAATACTTGCGCCGAGAATTTAATGTTCCGCTCCGCCCGAACTTACGACTTTGTTATTTGTTTTCACTAACACTGAGCACCTAGTGGTAGTCAAATTTTTTTCACTATCACTAAGCACTTATTGGTAGTGAAATTTGATTTGCATTACCACTAAGTGCATAGTGTTATTGATAAATTGGTTTCACTACCTCTATGCACTTAGTGGAAATGCATATCATTACCACTATAAGGTTAGTGGCTATAAATTTTGGAACAAACCTGTTATAAAGAAATGGGTATTAAAATCACAGATCGCTAAATTTTCATAAATTTGTAAACCAGTGTAACTAGTCAGTGATAGTGAAATTTTCATTCCCTTACCGCTAACCAGATAGTGCTAGTGAAAATTCTGTTTCACTATCACTATGTAGAGGTAGTGAAATTTGAAATGCACTAACTAACCGTAAAACAAGTGCGATTTTTCCATACAGACTTTCGTAAAGTAAAATTAAAAAATTAATAAATAAAAATAGGTTTTCCTATTAAGGAAATAAGACTTGCATCGAGATAAAATTCGCCACTTTTCCTCCAATAGTTACCTGCGGAAACTGCTTTTGGAATTTCTGAGGACAACATTTCGAGCACTTAAGCGAGGTTACCATTCGAATGTTGAGTTAACCTCGAAACAATTTTTATTTTTTATTTTTTGGATAAGTGTTTATTATTTGACTTTATCGGCACATATAGAAATTGTTAAGAGAGCAGAAGAAAAAATTCAACGCTGTAAAGTTTTATGTGTTTTATCTAATTGAGAAATATATAAATTGACTGAAATTTCTGGCTTTTCCATTTTTGAAGAATGTATTCCGCGATAACAGGTAATCATTTGTTTTTTGAAAATGTATCCGAATATTTTTTATTTTTGCAACAATAATATTTAAGTTAAATTTGCATTTTTATTTCTATACAACTGTAATGGCGATTTCGTTTCTACAAAAAACTTTCGCCTTGTCATTGCCCGGTCCTTAGTGTTTGTGCTGAGAGGGCAATGAGAAGGTAGCATTTTTCGGAAGAAACGAAAACGCCATAAGTGAATACGCTCAGAATGTGTAATATTTTACTTTTAGCAGTGTTTCTGTACATTTTTTGAATAAAATTGAATAGATTTTTGCACAAGAAAAATTGAGCTATTTATTTTTTGAATGCATATCGAGCCCTAACCGCCAAAATAATGTAATAATATTCCTTGGGCATCTAGATGTATTTCTGCATCGAAAAGAAAATTTTGAAAAAAATGGCGCTTACGTTATTTTGGCGGTAAGGGCTCGATATTTTAAGCATAATTTTTATATTATTCATGCATACTTTTAGCGTTTAAAATCATGTTTTTATGGCATATTTTTGGTTGCTCTACTTATGACTATCAAATCGACCATCAGCTAGATATTTACTACAAGCAAAATTCCGAAAAGAACGTAGGAAAGTAGAACGATAATAAAACATCAGTCGATAGACGCGTGTTCAAATTTAAAATTATTTCTCTGTGAATTCAAAAAACTGAACATATCGAGCCCTAGAGCATCTAGATGCATTTCCGCATCAAAAATAAAATTTTGAGAAAAATGTCGCTTACGTTATTTTGGCGGTTAGGGCTCGATATCTTCTAGTTAAGCGCGCTTCTTCTTGTTTGGCGATGTAACCACCTGAGCGATTTTGGCCGAGTTCAATAAAGCACGCCTGTCGTCTCGCTTCTGTGCCAACTGACACCAGTTGGGAATGCCAAGTGAAGCCAAGTTCTTCTTCATTTGATCTTTCCATGGCAGTGGGGGCTCCCTCTTCCTCTGCTACCACCCTCGGGTTTCGAGTTGAATACTTAGAGACCCGGAGCGTCGGAGTCCATTCGCTGCATTTGAATTTGCTCCACTATGTCTATGTCGGATGTTGTCATTGTCCATGCTTCTGCGCCATATACCAACACGGGCATGATGAGTGACTTATAGAGTGTGGTTTTCGTGCGTCGAGAGAGGACTTTACTTCTGAATTGCCTACTCAGTCCAAAGTAGCACTTCTTGTCAATTGAGATTCTGAGTTGGATTTCGATTCTGACATTATAATCGGTTTGCTGGTTCCCAAGTAAACGAAATTTTCTATTTTCTCGAAATTATAACTGTCAACAGTGACATGGGTGCCAAGGCGCGAATGTGCTGACCGTTTGTTTGATGACAGGAGGTACTTGGGTTGTCTTCGTTTACCACCAGACCCATTCGCTTTGCTTCCTTATCCAACTTGGAAAACGCAGAACAGACTTCGCGGTTTTTCTTACCGATGATGTCGATGTCATCGGCATACGCCAGCAATTGTACGCTCTTGTAGTAAATTGTTCCTGAGCGGTTCAGTTCTGTATCTCTTATTCTTCTCTTCTCCAACACCAAATTAAAGAAAACACATGAAAGGGAGTCGCCCTGTCTGAAACCCCGTTTGGTGGCGAACGGATCGGAAAGGTCTTTCACCTCCTAGCCCTGTACGCTTTTGATGTACTATTAGCTCTCTCTATACTATAAATACTTACGAATTTATATATCTTTCCGTTAACAGCTAATCGATATTTTCAACAATATAGCAACTAGACTGCTTCAGCTCATCAGGGTGTCCTAGACCACCAGTCTACCCCCTCCAAAATGGAGGGTAGCAGTTTTTATGACCTGTTTCTTGACCTGTCAAGTAGGGGATTCTCTATATTTTTGTCGTATTACGGATTTCCGGCTTCGAACGGCAGTAGATTAGACTGACCGGAAGTCCATTTTTTTAATGGGAGAGTTTGCCGTTGCCTGCAGGTTAGTGTCCGCTTTAAGATACTCTATTTCTTATTTTAGCTGTTGCTTGGGACAGTGATCGCACGCTGGTCCTACGGAGTGGTAGTGCGTTAACAACTTGCTTATAGTGGTGCGAGCGCAAAGCCAGAAATCAAGGCAATCGTACACACACACAAATTACTCGCCGAGGGTGAGCGCTTTTAACTACAAACAACACGTTTGTACGTATACACTTGTGAGTATGTAAATATACATATACATATATTCATTACGTGCATTTAAATATCTTGCAGTGTCGTATTTACATACTTTTTTTCTACAAACCTGACAAAATATTTTACCTTAAAAAGTTGTTGCATTTAAAGTGAGAAATCAATGGCTGCTTTTCCTTAAATTCTGCACTCCATTAATTTCTTTTACGTTTTAAGAGTCCTAGTCGTTCATCATACGCGACCACTCAACCTGACACAACTGGAAATCAAATAACGAAAACAAAAAAGAAAAACAGCAAAAGCAGGAAAATAACATAAACCAAAAAAAAAAGCTCTATATCCACGCTGGATCTAAAACAACTTCGACAGCAACAAAAAAGATAAAATCAACAATGACAAAAACAAAAACAACAGCAGCAACAATGCGTGTGACTGAGCGCAAATAAAAACAAGAGTGCAAAAACAAATGCAAAAGCGTCTGCCAGTATCCACCAAAAAAAGGATGCCAAGTTCGTTAGCATTCGTTGGTCGTGTTCATCGCACACAACTCGTCTGGAATACAAATGAGGCTGGCACATGCATACAAACGTACACACATACATACATACAAAACATTCGCCCGTTGGCCGCCACCCTACGCCCGTCCCATATTCAAGTGTTTGTGTTTTTGGGCTCAGCGTGGTTATCGGCTAACGGTGCAACTCTCATCATTGTGTGCAGTGACTGTTGCTGACATGGTCCGAATTCATATCCTGCACAGGATGTTGCTGATTTACAATAAATTTTTCTTTCATTCCTCTCGCTTTTTTACTTTCCTCTGAAGCGATTTTTTTTTAAACATTCTTATGGATTTTCGTTCCTGTGCGAACATACATACATAATTCTATATAACTATCTACATATACATATGTAACTAACTCTTTATAAGTAAGTACATATTTAATAGAAATTTTGTTTTCCTGTAATTCAATGGTATCTGTAAGAAGGCACTTCTCCTCCGTGTCGCCGAAAGAAAACAGCAGGTCGGGTTTGTCTAACACAGGTAAACTCAGGTCCAGCATATAGATAAAAAAGTTTATTAATGCATTTCTTTTGATACAGAGTAACGATGCAGACGCCGTCATCATAGCGGTGAAATCCGGAGAAAGGGCGATTTGGTTGGCGCACGATGCAGGCATATCAACTCCACCCCCAATCCTTGAGGAACGTAGTAATGGAGGCTTCAAGACTCCGATGATCATAGTAGCGGACGCGAATGCCCATGATCGCATATAGCGCAGCTCAGACACAAATGAACGCGGTGAGTCGATATTCGAATCCGTTATGTGCAATAACTTATAGGTTAGCAATGTAGATGATACCCCTATCTTCGTGACGTCTGTTAGAAGGGAAGCCATTGACATTACAAGTGTCAATGAATAGGGGCAACCCTTTTAAATGACAGGATTCACGCTAAAGACAATTCCTTTTCACACCACATGTATGTGGTTTCTAACCTATCCGTACCGATGAGCAAAAAACAACCGATCTTTAATTGCAGGAAAGTGAGTTAGAAAAAGTTTGAAACAGGCTTTTGGCCTTAAAACCAAATAAACTCGGAGAATCAACTTGATACACTACTTGGCGATCTAACAACATCCAGACCAGGGTGACAAGTAGAAAACCAAAAGCCCTATGGTGGTCCACTAAAATTGCAACCGTCAGAAAAGAATGCAAATTTAACGAAGCTAAAAGATTTAACTCCTGGAATGAATTTAAATACTGCAAATGCCGATTTAAGTATGCACTCGGAGACGCTAAGCGCTCTTCACGGAGAAGCTTCTGTTAAAAGATAGAAAGTAGAGGCCAGCAGCCCACGTAGAACACTATCTATGAGTCCTAGAAATATGAGGTAGCTCACCAAGGCAGATGGCGTTTGGACAACTAGCAGCAAAGAAACTCTAGAGCTTCTAATACAAAAGCACTTTCTCGGTTAGCTACGCAATAAAGTCATCAGCATTCGACTCGCAGGCAACAATGATGACTTCTCAGCGAACATTATTACCGAGGAGAATATAAAACGTGGTATTAACAGCTTCGAAAAGTATAAGTCTTCGGGACCAGATGGAACTATTCCCGCTGACCTACAGCATACAGCAGAGATGATTGAACCCATATTCGTAACCGTCTTTAAGGAAGCGTTACGATTTAATTATACACCTCACAAATATGAGGAGCTAAAAGCACTTTTCATTCCTAAAGCCGCTTCCACTCCTCACGGCCTGGGTTCAAGGCCTAGTAACACACAAAGAAAAATTTGAAAAATTTTTTTTCCTGACAGCGGTCACCCCCCGGCAAGAAATGGCAAACATCCGAGTGCATTTCTGCCATGAAAAAAAGCTTTTCATAAAAATACAATCACCGTTCGTAGTCGGCGTAATACTGTAGGTCGCTCGCCTTTGTGTGACAACATCAAGCCGCACGCCACAACTCCGAGGAGAAGCTCGGCCAAACACAACATACATATGTTTAAGCGCCGATCGATTATTATAACAAGACACTGCCTAATTGGCAAGCATTAGATGCGTGGAAATCAGGAATCTTCTAAAATTCCTGCGAAGCTCAAAATGGGTTTAGCAGATTTTGGGAGCTTCTGGCCCCAAATGCTACAACACAATGTGCCCTGAGCTTAAGCGTATCTTATAGGCAATGGCGACAACTTAATTTAACATATGTACATGCATCTATGAATCTATTCATATGTATACCTACAATCTAAAAAAAATTGTGTAGCTAAACTGATTTCCTACGTTATTATTCGCTAAATTACATGCTCGATTATTCAACGAATAGCTTGTTTAAATTTCGGACTTTTTAGAATGTACAGTTAGACTGGATTAAGACTGTAATATCGCTGCTGTGGCGTGCGTAAATTTACTACGAAAATGTGTACAAGCTACAAGATACACATCTGCTGTTTGATTTCACTCGTAGAATTGTGTACAGCCGCTAACAAAGAGGATTTTTACACACGAAAATGTGTAAACGAGAAAAATACATATTCATTGTGTAAATTTACCAAAAAATATAAAAATAAACAAAAATATACTTGATTTATAGTCGCATTTTTAAACAGACAGTGGTACAAAATAAGGTTACTTTATCGCACTACATTTCGGTCTGGTGAAGTAAAGGCTTCACAGGCAAGGTCCCATAGAAATCTTTGTCTATGCAAACCGCAATTAAAGAAGTTATTTTGCAGTACTAATTTTGCAAAGGATTATCACATAATTTCGCGTAAGTAAACCGCTTTTATGACAGACAGCTTGATGCTGTGTCAAGGACGTAGGCTAATCGAAAACCGAATCATAATCGTACCACCAAGGAGAAAAATTACTTTGGCGGTACATCCTCCTGACGAGGTAGAATATCTAGAATTCGTTCTAACTTAGACAGCTCGGGAGACATATTAGCTAGTATATTCCGAACCGATGGGAAAATATAAGATTGTTAAAGCACCTTCGTATTGAGCTACTTGCTTTCTAAGGGATTGTTACGAGTCCCATAAACATTGATATATATTTAACAGTAAAATAGCTTATGGCATAAGACAATGCGACACCTTGTGAATCACCATATAGTATGGAATCCACTACGTAAAACTTTCGAAGCAATAGAAATTAAAATAAATATATCGATGGTCCTCTGCAATAACGACATAACTAAAAATTTCGTATATTTCAGTAGACCCAATTAAAGATTTTATGTTTCGTAATTTAGCAATAATACGTCTTGAAACGTAATTATTCCGGATTTTTTACAGTCACTCTGTAGGGAAAATTTTTAAACTTTCAAATTAAGACTTTTGTTAAAGATTTAGTAAGTGTTAGACTGCAAAAAATCGAAATAAGTAACAACTCCTAAGGAGTTAAATGCAAAAAAAAACCTACTTGTATAGCTGAACAATGGTATAAAACGAAAAGTTTCGTTGTTTCCCATAAAATCATCACTATCGAGAGATTTTGACTTATGCCAAAATTCACTATAAATGTGCCACTCTTCATCAGCAAAGGTTCTCTTCTTCGGTTTTGTGACAAATGGCAAAACGGCGCCTCTGCCGGATTGGTTACAACTAAGCGTATGTCGATTTGCCATAGAAAAATATGGTTATTTATAAACCTAATCCGCTATATAACTCAAAAACATGACATTTTGTGTTGTGCCGTTTTTGCAGAGGACCATCGATATGTATATCTACGTAAATTTTTGTTAAACGGGAACACAGTTTTACTTGCCGAGAAGTGACCGGGTTACGAAGAAAAATCTGGTTTTGGTTGGCTGGGTGGTAGTGCGCACCCCTAAGGGAAGACAATGAGGAAGCAAATAGGTTGGCCAAGGCATAGAGGTCGTGACTAACCTCCTGACCAAAAGATGAAACTGAGTTACGCACATTTTATAAGTGTTTTCCACCTCACGTAAAACAAACTTCAATAAAAGGAAACATTTATGGTTCGAATGAGACCCCCGTCTTTTTATGCCGACTATAACAAACTAATAGAGCACTACGATTTGAGTGTACTTGGAATGTCCGTAGCCTTAATGTCTTTGACCGGTTGGTTGATGTCTTCTGAAAAAATGATGACATCAACGCCATGCAAGAAATGCGATGGACGGAGCTAGGCAAAAACCTAGTGGGGTCTTGCAGCGTTTACTACAGCTGTCATGTAAAGGAGCGCGAATTCGGTGCTGGAAGAGAGACTCCGTCGCTTGATTCTTCTGTTCCAGTTAATAAATGCTACATAAACAAAAAATCAAAAATCGGGCTAAACTGGTCTCTTGCACATTTTATTAGTTTTCATAAAAAAAAAAAAAAATATTAATGAAATTGAATTAAAAATGAAGTCTCCTGTGAGCACTAAATTCCAGTTTTGAACCACTATCCGTGGCCGCGTACTGTCTGTCGCGATTTTATCTATTTTCCGAATAATACAACTATACTTTGAAATCTGTCCACTTTCTTTTAGATTTTTTGCAAATATTTCAACACATTTGTGAACAGTTTAATCGCCACAATGCTGACTGACCTTCAACTCTTTTTATACCAATTTAACGTCGATGTAGAATAACTCAAGCGCCAAACCGCAACCCCAAAACGCCAGAAGGTTAAGTTAGCTAAAGTTTTTGAGAAAGAAATGCTCAGCAAGTTTCATCTATGTTTGTATGTACACACGTACTTATATTAATATTTTTACACACATAAATACACATATATGGACATCCTTGCTACTCTCTGCCATCCATTTTCTGTTTTCAGTGTAAAACTTTTACGATGTACTAACAACTTTGAATACTCTGATTTAGATTTACTTTCGGAGGCCCCACAACAGGCACACAACAGGTGAAAGTGGAAAGTGAATTACGGCCAAGTTTTTGGCGCTAACTTTTGAGCTCATTTGCTTGATGTGGCGGCTAAAAGCCGGTAACCGGCAAAATGCAGGTTTAGTGTGAACAAACTCGTTTAACATGCTTGAAAAGAATAAAAAAGAAAAACATATCTGTGGTACAAATAGATCCAAGAAGTAGATTCTTTAGACATGTATGTATTTATGAATGTATATATAATAAATATTTATTTCCAAAGTTGCCACCCCGCTAGTGATAATTCAAATATGTGTGCGTAAGCATATTAGTTGTACATACAACTTTATGTTCACAACTTAGCCGGTGGCATTTGAGTACGGGAACTACGGCTAAAGTCTAGACTCTATAGGTTATCTTTGGTATGCACATATATGTAACTACATATATAATGCGCCATATGCAGATTTGTAAATGAAGCCCTAAAACTAAAAACAAATATAGGTTTTTGTAATAAATATAAACCTTAATAAAATTTCATTATATGGTATATATTTTCCAAGGAAATCTAGGATGAATATTTTACCCTTTGCATGCACTGCTAACCAATGTACCAGTACAAAGTGACCTTTACTTTGGCTATCTACAATTTTACGCCGACTCCGAGCAAGGGTTGTATTTTTATGAGAAGCTGTTTTCATGGCAGAAATACACTCGGAGAAAAAACGGTTTTATAAAAGTTATATAGCCCTGTAAAAAATAAAAAGACCAAAAATTTTACTACATATATGTATATTGCATTGTATATTGTGCACTAATCCATATTTCTAACTTACAACGATTGTCGACTAAAGGATGGAATTATTTTAAGAAAGTATTCAGAGCTTCGATTATCCTAATTTAAATTGTAAGCCCACAGTCAGCGAGATTCTATAATTTGCAATTAACGATATGGCAGGGTGGGGAGAAAGAAACGGTTTAGGGGTTAACCGCTCCGAAACCGAACTTGTTCAGTTCACCAAGCGATATAAGGTAGACAAATTTCGAACTCCGTCCCTCAATGGAGCAAATCTTAAATTGTCAAAAGAGGCAACTTTTTTAGAAACGGAACACCGAAAAGTGGAGAATATGGCGCTTAATTCGCTCTACTCATGTCAAGCTACAATTGGGAAAGACTAGGGGCTATCCTCTGGAACCACCTTTACTAACGTCCTGAAATTTTACACAGCTATTTATGATATCAATACCGTACTTTCGGCGAAGAGTGGTAGATTTTGTTCACTTCTAGAACACCTATTAGTAACATGAAATTTGGTGTAACTTGGTAGCCCAGTCGTGTGATGAAAAAATATTGGGCTCTGGCCCAGTGTTGACAAAAACCCCTGTGAAACCGCCGTTAGAGGAGGAAATATTATCTTTTGTTGTAAACATCTGGAAGGTCAACCGTTAACGATTCTGAGGAAAAAAAGAAAGAGTTTATGTAGATGTGGGCAATTTAGTTTTTAACCTCCAAGAGGCTCTCAGACAAATATAATCGAAAAACTTATTTACAGTTTGAATTGCTATGTGTTTGACATATTAGTCTGTGATGAACATCTCATCTATACATACAAATACATATGCATATTTTTTATAAATAAAAATCGAGGTTCCTTTTTCGGTCTAATTTCAAAAGCTACTGAAGAAATTTGTGGGAGACTTGGTAGAATTAGCATTAATCAATGCGGTATTAACGTTCATAATTCGATTTAAAGTTTTCCTGTAAATTCACTATAAATTATGCTGGTGGACTTCAAAATAGTAATTCGCATAAAGAATTTAGTATTGGTGAGAGGTAAAATTCAAAAGTGTATGAAAAAGATGTCGAATTTCGACAATCGGGCGATACTAGTTTTTATAATTGGAAAATATGTATTTGATGGGAAAAAATCGCCAATGGCGATTTCCTAAATTTTTGCGCGCAAATATCCAAAAATCGCCAAATGTGGACACTCTGATCCCTAGTGACTTCCTTGAACAATTGCACTGTACAACTTCTTAAATGCTTACTGATTCGCTGAAAATATATTTCTGTAAATTGATGCATACATACAATGTACATAGTATACATATGAGAGTTTATTGAATTTTCGTTATCTGCACGCGAATCACCCAACCGGCGACCACATATCACACCAATGACATAACAGCCTATCGATGGTCTACGTTGAATTTTAATTTTAATTTTAATTTCGATTTCGATTTCGGCCGAATACGCAGCAAACAAAATATCACAAAAATAAAATATTCCAAAAATATCAAGTGTCGCTGATCGGTGCAGCAAACACAACAGTTACTCACCTATAGGCGACCAGCCCGACACCAAGCAGACTTTTAAAGGGCTGTTTGACTGTATCTATTTTACTATGAAAAATCATTTAATTACAATGTGGGAAAAAACGAAAGCTCAGTATAGCAAAAATAACGATTTCTATCAGTAATAAAGGTAGGTACTCATACTACAATAACAACAATTGCAATAGCAACACACATACAGATTGTTGCTGGAAACAATCACTTCCCACCCGATCACTCACTGACTTTTACATCAATTCATCATAAAATGAGATTTATGACAAAAACAAAAGGCTTATCACAGCCATAATGGCCGAGCGCCTAAATGTATGCATGCAAGCCTGCGTGGTCGCATGCACGTCAGTGAAACGTGTGTTTGTATGAGTCGGTAGATGTTTGCTACAAGTCTGCTTCTACATATTTGTTGTTTTGCATCCATGGACGCTGCTAAAAGGCAAATTTAAATTTAAATTACATTATTTTGACGTGCATAAGTATGGTCGTATGTGTGTGTATATGTATATATATAGATATACACAAATATGTACAGTGACTCCAACAAGCGTTCATATCGTGATTTATTTTTAATACAAACATATCCTGCGGGAAATGTATCTAACTATAAGTTAACTGGAAGTTGATTATGAAGGAGCTAAAGGTCACTATTATCTGTATATTTTCTTTGAGTAAGGCGACGGTCGCGAAATAGTCAAGGGTGGTTACCTCTGCATTAGATGTCAACTAATTTGTAACTAACTACTTTCGAGCATAAAATAACCATAAGGAAAACAAAATACATTTTTTTTTTGTTATTTTACTTTTTTATTTATTTACTTTATTTTATAACATTACATATTTATTTATATATTCTGCTGTAGGTGGTTCGAAATGATAATATATAATTTTGATCTTCCTTTTATTTGTCCTCAATTCGAAAAGTATTTGCGAAGTGCATAAAGAAAGTACATTCCAAGTAAAATTTATATGAGGAAATCTAAATAGAAACTTGTTTAAAAAAAACAATCTCCCGATTACGTCTGCATTATTCCTGCATTACTTGTCAACTAGTTTCAGGTTAGCTTTCTGTAGTTAACTACAAGTTATATATTTTATGGATATCCAGCAAAAAAGTTGATTACCAGTGAGTTATTTTTTATCAATTGATAATTTTTTTCAGCAAGCTATCGTTAGTATAGTTTGGAAAGGGCATATCCCACATTTTCGATGAAATGCAAAATATCTATAACTATCTAAAAATGTTTATTGTATAAAGCGAGGTGGGAACTTAAAAAAAGACATATGTATGTAGGGGCCATGAGTTAAAAGCGTGATGTTCTTAAACAATTGAATTCCCAAAAAATAAAAACAAGTTTATTTACATTTGAATACTAGTTCATGGTTTGATATATGTTTCTTTTGGAACATTTTTACGCTACTAAATTATTTTAAGCCGCTTGAAATGATTCTTTTACATTAATAAAAAAGTTAAAAATATTGTGAGTATTTAAGTCACTGTATTCATGTGCATACACATACATATATACATACGTATATAGGCATTTTGTGTGTGTTTTTTCATTCCCAAAGTAAATTAAAGAGTTTATTATATATATACTATATTAATTTGTGTGTAAGTAAGTATGTGTGTATATGTTTGGTAAGAAAAATTCCTTCAACTCAGTATAAAAATCGCATTTCCTTGTATTTGGCTTATTTCGAATAACTATATAGAAGAGAATTTAGTAATGCAGAGAAAAATGCCTCGATTTATTTCAAATTTTTTTTCAATACCGCCCGCCAATTCGGAGGAATCATAAAAATTAAAAGTCGAGAAAACGGGCTTCGTGTCTATTAGGTTGCACCATTTCTAACTAATGCGCGTATACTTTTGGCCTTGTTTCTACTGAAATACTGAGAATTAGGCTATTTACTTGCGTAGGTTCTGACAATTTTTTTTTTTTATTTCAATATAGTTTGCTTAAAAGAAAGATACCACGGAATGAAACCGAAACCGTAACCGTTATCTTGACCTGAGGCATCAGCACAGTTTATAAAAATAATAAAAAAAAATTTCTTTAAAATAAATGATTTATTTAACAAAAATCAGCAATTATTTGCTAAAATTTTTGTTAAGTAGTAAATAAGTACGGCAAAGTAACTTTTCCCAAAAAGCTCCTAAAAAGATGCCTAATAAATTAGGTCTCCGATCTGGAATCGGTTATTTGGAAGCGTCATGTTGATTTTCATTTTCACTTGTATAGTTGTAAAGCGCACAAAGATGAAGGGGTTTCATAATTATTTAGCAAATATTTGACGAAGATAACAATTATATTTTAGTTTTCATACATCTTCGATTTTACAGCAAAAAGGAAATACTGCTGTGAATCGATAATCGATCAATTATACTATTTTATTCATATTCATATCATCAGTGAACTGTAATTTTTGATTTTCTTTCCTCAACGTTTAAGACATTGTGATTTTAAATAATATAAACAAAATTTTTGGCAAAACCGAAACCGGAACCGGAACGTTATTTTGAATCGGTTTCATTCCTTGAAAAATACTGATAAAAATAAAATATTTCACACAAACTGGGTTAAATTTTGAAATTCGTGCCCGTATTTTGTTTGAACGCCAAATATTAGTGGCATTATGCTACTATGATAGCACGGCCGTGTAATCATAGTCAACTTATGTACAGTAGTCGAAACAATTATAGGCGCACCAAATTTGACAAGTTTTAAAATATTATTTTTGTTGTTATTTAATTTTGGTTAGTTTTTTTAGTTCATCCGTATATATTAGGGCTGCCATACGTCCCGGTTTTCCGGGGTATGCCCCGGTTTTAGACTGTTGTCCCGGTTTTTCCTCAAACTGCTCGATTTTAATAAAAAAAAAAATCGGCTGGTTTAATTTTTATTGAATTTTAATACTAAAATTTGCTACTATTTTATAAATGAACGATATAACATCTTTGAATGATAAGAGATTTTGGTTTGAGTTGATGATCGTGACGATCTCTAATTAGCAGGGTCTAATTTAATTTATTTTACTGAAAAAAAT